GAAGATATCCACAAGATGTACCAGACTTACCTGAAGAAATTTGATGTTTCTCACTTTCAGAAAGATACCCCAGTTTCCAGGCTACAGCTTTATTTCTTGCATGCACTCTTTGAACTGGAGATTTGACCCCAGATTCCCCATATCTTGGCCACTCCAGCCACTGGCTTGCTACCAAATTCCACCTTTGGTATTTTTGTTGCCTTAGGTAGATGAAAGCCACATACTTCACAAATCTAAAAGGAGCTGTAGCATGAGCTGGATACACCAGTTACTTACCAGTGTCATGACTTGGGCAGTCCCAGCCATGCCAAGAGGCAGTTTGGCACCCAAAGGGCTGGTGGAAGATGGAGCTGTGGGGACTTTAAGCACAAAGTTAGGCGGCAGCAGGGCAGAGGTTTTACTTATCTAATTTTAGATTTAGGCACTTCATTTCCCAAATGCTATACTACAGCACAGCCTGCAGCATAACATACATAGCGATGTCCATACCTCGAACATGGTGGTGAAAGCACCAGAATGGCAAGAACAGGCAGCAGTGTAAATTCTTCAGTGCCGTTCTGACTGCACTGCTTGGATACGAAGCTAACCCAATTAAGCCTCTATCATTACTTCTTCCTCATTATGATATTCATCACACGAGATAGCACCATGTACAAGGGGTACAGTGCAAGAGGAATTCACACCTCCATTTGTCTGTGCAGCCATAACTTTATGCCCAACATTTTACTTCTGAATTAGATAATGCGGAAGCTTCACCAAAGCTTCTGTTTTCGAAAATGTCAGTCAACATACCATCTTCAATGTCAAAATCAACTGTGAAATGTAATACTATTAATCGGGAAGCGAGAATAATTTATTTCAGTTGTGGATTTGATTTTACCAAATGAAATTAATGGTACAATATAAAGTAAATGCTAAGACTTCTGTATGTAGTTAAGCATTTTGCTCAAGGTCCAAGACATCTTTTAAAAGCATTTTCAATCATAAATTGAAAGGTAGAAGAATTAGTACACCTTTTACTATAAATTCCAGCGTATAGGAACAAGCAAGCAGGACAGCATAGTCTTTAATGTGACCACTTTTTCAGCATAGACATTAACAGAGGCTTTTTCATGCACAGTTGATTTTGTATAAACTGATTGACACCTTTGGGGGTCGTCTTTCCACTGACTCATAATTTTGCTCACTCTTGAAAAAAGCCTTCTGCACACCCAGTATTCTCTAGTTAAAGCTGAAAATTCAACTCATCATATTTACACAATAAAAAAAAAATCCATTCTGCGTTGTTTTTAATTGCAAATCCTACTCAAGGGACCAATTCTCCTGCTTAGGAGGCAGCCCTGTACCTTCTACTAGAGAACCAACTGCAGTCAATTATGGTAATGAAATGTCAATAAATATAAAAATTTAATACAGCCTGCTCTTGGTGAGTGGCAGATGAGGACTTGCCTCCCAGACAAATTTGCTGGTGCTGCAAATATTAAATGCACCTGAAAGAGTAGCAGGTTGCCTGAGAGCTCTCCAGTAGAGGGATGGTGGGAGATGCAGGCATCTACTGGGTTTTTCCATTATGGCATAATCGCTGCACTAAGGCCACTGATATTCTTGACATCCATACACCTTAACTTCTTATTACGAAGTGAAAAGCATATTTCCCCTGCAAACTGGAACCTCGGAGAAGGATTTCGAGCTTTTTTCCCCCTTAACAATTACCAAAGGGAAATTAAGTTGTGAAAGTTGGTTTTTATATGTGACCAGTTTCTCAATATGAAGTAGTTGAATCATGTCACTATATTAAACTGCTCTTTGAGCAAAAAGTATTTGAGGTATGTTACTTTATTTTATCTTATTATTTATATAAGTATATGTACTACTATATAAAGAAATATATATAAGTGTATGTATAGAAAGAGAGACAAATAACAGATGAACTAGAAAGTAGTTTATGAAAGATGGTTTGGCTGGGATTTCCAAAGACCAGACCCTAGTTTTGTCACAGATTTCTTTGGCCCTGAGTAAGCAATTTAATGTCATTACTTCACTTTTCCCAGGTGTAAAAGAGAGCAATAAAACCTCCCTCACAGGATACTTAAGCCTAATACATTGACTTAATTGAAATATAAGCACAACTTTAAATGCTTTGCAGAGTTGGAGCAGTGTTATTCTTAACATCCATACAAAAAGTGTAACTTCATTTTTCTTGTACAGTTGCCTTCAGTCAATGTCTACATATAAATAAAATCTCTTATTAAAAGTCAGTAACCTATTGATTATATTAACTAGAAGACATTATTTAACCAGGAGACATTATTTTTAGTCCCTTTCAGTTATTTCTCTGTCTTTCCTGGCTGAAATTTTGTCAGGTTTGAAGTCTTTCATGGTTTTTTTTCTTGCTTTACTGCTGTTTATACTTAAGTAAAATCAATTCAATAGTTTTAAAATCAAAAAAACATATTTCAAAACATATGTTTCTTAACAGTTTGTTAAAAAAATAGATTTTAAAGGATCAGTGCCTGGAAAAATACAATTTTGCAGTATTGGTCTGTTTCCTCTGCTGATACCTGGCCATTCTTTATTAACTACTCTATTATGGGAGACCATAAAGGTAGGATTAGAGCACCGATACCTTTAAACAAATCATTAACCCAAAGCGTGCACTTACCATTGTGCTTAGTGTTAGTTTAGAGCCAGACTTCACTTACATGTACTTATGTGAAATATGATTAGCAATTTCCCTGCTATGGAAGCTCCTAAAAAAGAAAGGTGTTGGTAATATTAGAGCAGCCAGGCAAGAAAAGATTTAAAAAAAAAAATAAAATGTGTCAATAACCCATTTGGGTCTCAGTCAGTCGGCCAGGAGCCGTTCAACACAGGAGCATGTAGCACACCGGGCCATTTTCATGGGACAGTGGCACTTGTAGGGGATATGTAACAAACTCTGATGAAATCAGGGCTGAGCTGAAGGCATTTCAGCCGAAGCAATTGCACCCTGCTCCATGCTGCTGTCGCTGCGCTGGAGCTGCTCCATCTCACAGCCTCCAGCCCGGCCCCAGCCTCTGCGCCTCACCTTCGCATCACGGTGTTCCCATGGGCTGTGGTACCCGAGCACTTTTCTGCTGCTCACCATCCCGTGACAAAGCATGTGAAAGTTAACAGTGTGCATCTTCAGAGTAGCAGAGGCTGATACGGCCACCTGCATGGAAATGTTCCGTTAACGAGTCCGGCATTAGCCAGGAGAAAGTTTCGGTGTGCAAGCAGTGGGGAAGTTGCCTGAGAGTCAAGGATTGCCCAGGGGTGTGTCAGCTACAAAAGGCTACAAAAGTAGACTTTGCTTGTGAATATTACATTTTTTTAAATATGGTGTATTAATTCCAGCTTTCTGTTGGATCCCTGTATACAAGTGTCTCTTCAGAAAGCTCGTAGGCAGGTCAGCCTCCTCCAAAAACGAATGGGCAGCGTGACGAGGGCAGCAGCCCCCCCCGAGCAGTCCCACTTTTTTCTATGCCCCAGAAAAAAGTAATTTTGTGCACTGTGGTTGCTGCTGGGGACAACGCAAGTGCAGCTGGCCTGTGTCACGCACCTGCCTGCTCCTCCTTCACTAGCAGGGGACGACTCGCCAGAACTAGTCTGTTGGAACCAACTCCAACAAATACCAGGATTTTCTGTAGCTAAGGAGAACAGAAACCACCCACACAATACCTCTGTTTCCTGTGGGAATACACCGACATTTCTGGGCTTGAATAGATGTTTCTGGCCAAGTTCTGGACACTGGAGCATTTCCCATGAATACCGTTATGTCCCTCTGGACTAATAGACCCAGTGGAGGCGCTAAGCTCACTTCATCAGTCTTTCTTCACAGGATCATACAAATACAATGAGAACAAGAGACACCAAATGAATAAAACAAACCGATATGGGGACAGCTACCAGTGTCATAAGCAGTTATCATATATAAAGCTTCTAAAAAAAAAGCTAATACAACATTCACACTGATGTGACATACCATTAAGATATACGGTTTAATAATATTTTCAATATATACCATTGTCCTAAAATAGGTTTAGATATAAAATCATCTTAACTTGATAACATCATTAAATTGAGAGTGATTCTTTTACCCAAGAGTATCCTGGTTGTACGTGATTGCTTGAAATGTCTTAAAGTGGTTCTGCAGGTGTGACAACCAGACAGAAATACAATTCTCTTTTACAGGTGGATTATTCCGTAATAGCATCCCAAGCTGGAGCCACCCTCAACAATCTTATGAGCCATGCACAAGAACTGGTAGCAAAGCTTCGTTCCCTGCAGTTTGATCTACGAGAATTTGTATGTCTCAAATTCCTGGTGCTGTTTAGTTTAGGTAGGTACGCTCTACTCTTCATACCTTACTTAATAGCGTTATTATTTTTTTCTAAAAACATTGGAAATATTTTGCTTTCCTTAATGTTTTCCTGAAAAACACAATTTTGAATTACATTTAATGAGGTTCACAGTAATCTGAGGACTCTTTTTTAACTATCACTTGCAGGAAAATTGTGTATAAGGATTACAAGTGGGTTTCTATGGAAATTACTCCAAAAATCTATGGAATTTAATAGAGTATTATAAGCTTTCTGTATTTCTGTATGTGGTTTCTGAATATTCCAGAACAGGGATAAAATTCTTTTAGAAATTCTAGAGAATAGTGGAAAATACAGATTGCCATGTTTTCCTATGATATTGAATATGGTTATGTAAAGCAGATGGAGTGGGGATATGGTTGAAATATCCCTCTTTTTCAAAGGCATCTGCCGTAAGTATAAACAATCTTCTTTGCATATGATGGCTGTCACATCGTAATCTATAAATCAGGAAAGTATCTCATAGTTTTTTAAAAGTGAAAGGAACCCTTAAAGTGCAAATTAATGATAATTGCTTTATGACAGATCTGGCTAGGAAATAACCTTTAAAGGGAAAACTGTTTTGTACTAGTGGAGAGGACATAGAATGGGAAAGATACCTATGCAAGACAAATTAGTTAAACCAGTGCCCTCCAATGAATCAGTCAAGAAAAATCACCAGTGCCAGGAATAAAAAAAGGCTTAGGGAGATGGATTCCTATTGACTTCATAGGAACAGATTTTTCAGGTTTACACTTTGTTGACTTAATAAAGCTGGTCTAAATAAACTTTGGCCAAGTGAATTTTTATTTACTGGCAGACAGTTGAAAGGAGAGACTTAAAAACATAAATAAGCTCAGATCCAGCCATACCTCTATAGCCAAAACTCCCTGTTTACTCAAAAGATATTTGTCTAGAGAGTGAACAGTTGAGCCAAGCACAACAATGGAAGAAATATCAGCAGAGGTGACATTTAGTAATGTTTTTATTTGATTTTCATTTTAAAAAAAAATCTGTAAAGGAATAAAACTCTACAAATATATTAGTATAATACAACTGCAATTAGACTAAAAGGAACAGTTTGGGTTACACTGTAAAGTGTCAATTACTGTCTTAAATATATCCCTTCATGTGGCGTTTATAGAATTTGAACCTGCTTTGGAAAATTTTAGATTAATCTCTCTTAATACAGGGAGCATAAAAGATCAGTATTTCAGAGGTATAGGACACAGAATATGTAGGGGGAAAAAAAGGAATTCTTTTAAAAATTAGAATGACTCAACCGAATCGAATGTTTTAAAGTTTGTACGTTCTGAATCCCAGGAAGAGATGATGGATTTACCTGGTACTATTCACATTTTCTATTCAGGTCTTCATCGCTTTCCATTTCTTAGATTCAGAGAAGGAAAAGCAAGCCATCTGTTGCAGAAATTATGTTTTATGTATTAATCTAATGAATAACAAGAATTCAGATTTCCTAATTCCTAATAAGTAAGTTTTTCAGTCATTAGATAGTGGCACAGAAACCTCTAAAGAGCCTGTAGCTTTCCTCTGATTAAATATTTAGAGAATTCATCTCAGTTCAGTGATATTTAAAATAAGCTGAATAAGTGAAGTGCATTTGGAAAATTCTCACATTTAGGCGGCCTTTTTGTTTGATTGCTTTCATCACCTTTTCAAGTACTTTGCATCGATTTAGGAATCATTCTTACATATTTAGCTCTTCTAATTCTGCCAGGTAGTGTGCTCAACTTCTGAAGCAGTTGGGCGGGAATACCTTGCAAGCTCGTACTGAGCCAGGTTATCCAGTTTTTCTCTCATTTATGCTACTATAAAAAGAGCTAATTCTGCTGCTAATAGGAGCCTTGTACTCACATCACTTGCATATAAAGTGATGTAGCCAAGGAAGGTTCAACACCTTTGAAACCGATTAGTTCATTATTCAGCATACTGCATAATTCAATTTGCTAATAGTCAAAGCTAAATGTTTTTCTGCAAAAAGTAAAATGTAAAGATGTTATCATAAGACTGAGGCAAATATTTAATTGAGAATGATGACAAAACTGAAATGAAAAACACAGATACCCTTTCCAGTTAAGTACTTAAGTTTGTGCCCAAAAGTATGAATGAATTGTCTGGCTAAAGTTAATAAGACACCTCACATCCTAAAAGCGAGTAAGGTTTTTGAAGATGTTGAAGTCCCTAACAATGCTGGTAGGCATTCAGCAGGGCTGTCAAAACTAGCTAAGCATCAAATTCTACATAAATAACTGGAAGCAATTATTGTACCTAACTATCTAGGTGCGTTTGACACATATCTACATATCTTAGGCATCTCAACAGAAAACTGGTCTTAACGCCAAAAATATATCACTTAATCCAAAAAAAAAAATATTTCAAAAACCTCAGCTGGCTCTTGTTGAGAGTCTGGTCCTGTAATGTTTAATGGAATAAAAAGCGCTTCAAGACATACCAGCCTTTTTACATTTCTAAGGATGTTCACACTCACCACAGTGTTAACCAAAGCAATAAAACCTTAGCTATTATTTAGTACAGTGCTTGGTTGAAAAATATATGTCTAATACAAAGCCTCTCAAAGGCAACACCAAGTCAATAATCCAGAGAATTAATTTATTGAGAAGAAGCTGTTTGTTTTTTTATAACCACACAGATACAAGGCTGCCTTGTAAAGCTGTTTGTTATTCATGGCTGTACCGTATTGTCTGTCTCTTCACAAGATGGCAATCTCCTTCAGGGCAAAGAACTTTGTCTCTGCCTTTTTTCCTAACATTTCAGAAGTGATTATCTTAGTAAACTAACAGTAAAATAATGTTCAAAACCCAAAGCACTTACAATAATTTCTCAAAAGACAATTAAATCATATCAGTATTGCTTGCTAGATTTTAAATGAAAGAGGTAATTGTTCATTATCTACTCATCAAAGATTCCAAAGGATTTATGCAGGAAAATGCTTTAAAGATGCTGTTGAAGCTTAGACAGATGAGTATTGTAGCCTTTGTGGCTAGCAGTGCACAACTCTTCCTGAAGTCAAATGGCATATACCCACTCCAACGAGCGATACACCCAGGCACAGGAGCTCCGTTCCTTTCTCCAGTGGGCCATCTAGTCTGTCTGTGCCCATCTGATCAACACTGCCAAGTGCATCAATGATACAGTGGCTCAGCGGTTATTCAATAAGCCAGACTAGTTTGGTACCCAGTTTCTTAAGTGTGATATCTCTTTACTTCAGTTCTATACAGTATGAATATATAGGTAGAGTTCGGTAACTTTTAAATTCCTTCCATCGGTTATAAAAGTAAGTGTCTTTACAGCTAGGTAGTTCTTACCTCTCTGTACATAAAAGTCTCCTTTCATGTTCACAGATCTTCTTACTTCAGTGATGGTCTGTCTTTCTACCCTCAGTAGTTCCTCATGCCATCCTTCAGTCCAGTCACTGCCAATCTCTGGAGACAAGCAAGTCCATCATACCTAGACTATTGTTCTTAGCAGATAAATGGTTCAGCTGAATCAGTCCTTCAGGTCTTATGCTCCCATAGGTCAAAAAGTCAGAGAACAAATCAGTCCTTACCACCAGCATAATCATCACAATCACACTGGAGATAGATTACCATCTTGTGCATGGTTCAGACTCAGCTGTATTTTAGATTAACGAGATCCTTGACTCATAAGGACATTAAAGCACCAGCAGAGACCCTGTCCTTCACAGCTTCACTGCACCATCAGTGGTCAGTCAATTACTCTGTCAAGACATAGGAAGTTTGGACTAAATTTAAATTCCATCACATTACTCTGATCCATTTACATGACCTACAGATCTACTATGCTAGTCCATCAGAGTTCCCTTAAAGAACCACAGTCTTTCTGTGAGTCGGTCCTCTGCTGCATACCTCCTCGCTACACATAAACAAATGCATGTCGCTTTCCTCTCTCACTGCACACCAGAACAGCATTACACAAATCAAACAGTCTAATTGGCAACTGTGATCACAGCAAAGCAAATAGAAACGGGTCTTGTGATCAAAATTGTCCTTCACAGTTTGAGTTGTATAGCCTGGTGTAACAGCTAAGCCATCTCCTAGTCACTTCTTCCCCTACTTGGTCTCTGATGAACATGGCTGAATTCTGTACCAGCGTCTGTCTTCACTGCAAATGATACACTAGATGCTGATTGAATGTTTTATTTGAAGATGAGCTGGAGTTCTGAAGCCAAAGCATTGTATTGCAAAGGAGCAATCTATCTACCAGCATGATTTATTTGAAAGAAGTCTTCTGTTTAGGTGGCCTAGAAATAGCAATTTCTGTTATCAATCTCCATTTCAATTATCTTGAGCTATTATCTTGCTTTGAAGTAAATCAGGACAGCAGTTCTGATAGGAATTATCTTTACCAACCTTTCTTTCACTGAGGTTTACATCATATTTACAAACCCCAAAACACGCCTGGTTTGTGGGGACATCATTCCTGTGTTTTCACATATAGAGGTATTCTGCCCTTAATTCCAGTAAAGCGAGTGAAAGTAATCAACATACCAAACCACAATTTAACTCAGGTGTATCAGCCATTTTTTTTCATAATCTGAAGATATTCAGTTAAAAAAATCAGTAGCTCAAGAGGTATACAAACCTGGATTTTCTTGACTACTTGGTTGCATATGACAGGTTTATTTCAGGCAAAAAGAACCAAGACAGAGCCATGACAATTCAGCAATTGTAGTCACACAGTTGATGGGAAGTTAGTGACCAGGTGCATGTTGCAAAACTGGGAAAGAAGAAAGAAATCTTTGACAGACCTGAGTGTTAGACCTACTTTTAATACTACTTCTGCAGGTTTTATCTTTATGAACTCCTGTCCAAAACATGGAAAGAGCACATCTGAGAAAGATGCTGATCACATAGTTGTATAACTGTTTATCAAATTTATCACTAAATGAGAATAAACATATCTGGTTTTCCAAAGCTAG